CTTTTCTTTAAGAAACATTTTCCTTTTCTTTAAGAAATATGAGAAAATCCAGGTGAAGGAGAACCTCCATAGACATTAGTCCAGTGTTTCTCAACGTTGGCAATTTGAAGATGTCTGGACTTCAACTCCCAGAATCCCCCAGCCAGCGAATGCTGGCTGGGGAATTCTGGGAGTTGAAGTCCGGACATCTTCAAGTTGCTAACGTTGAGAAACACTGGACTAATGTCTATGGAGGTTCTCCTTCACCTGGATTTTCTCATATTTCTTAAAGAAAAGGAAAATGTTTCTTAAAGAAAAATCAGAAATCCCAGCTGTGTTCAAAATAAAAGCCCCTTTGGGGCTCTCAGGGCGAATGGCATTTATTTAGCAAAAACAGAGAGGAAACAATATTGGGTCTCAAGGTGACAGTAACAACATTTTAATGCATTTACAAATCTTTTTTTTAAGAAAAAAGAATTTCAAGTTTGAAGACTAGTAACACACTCATTTATTTATTAAAAATAGGAAACAAGTTGCATTTTGTTTTCCCAAATTTAATGTTTGTTTGAATGAGCCCCAATGCAAACAGCATTTATTTAAAGACAAACAGGAAAGAATGAGTTTCAAGGCCAATAGAGTTTGTTTACTTATTTCTTTTTTAAAAAAAAATCTGGGCCAAATGAATCTCAAGGCTAATAGTTGAACCATTTTAGCATTCAATGCTGCAAAAGGGATTGTCATTTGATATTAATCCAAATGCTAGCACCATTAAGAAATTCCAACATATTTACATATGATTAAATGTTTTTTACGTTTGAAAAATATTAATTAACAGCAAACAGAAAAAAAGCATTATCGAGCCAGTCCATCCAGAATTTTCCAGAGGCAAAAAAACTCCCAAGTGTATTCCCACTAAATTCTCCCTTTACCAGTATCTTATTAGAGTATTCATTCACCACCATCCCATATAACCCTTCTTAAGTGACTTCATGATGCCCAATGGGTGATTGATAGGTATCTGTAATTGCCCTACCTTATTCATTTATGGAATCCTGATGGTATAAGATGTGACCACGGGACAAGATTAGATGGTGTCATGGAGGATAAGTTGACCTGTAACTATTAGTCATAATGGCTGTATGGAACTTTCTGAATATTATACCTGGATACCAGTTGCTAGGAAGGCAGGGTGCGAAAGAGATTCATTACCTTCTCGTGGACTGTCACAAAGGATCCAGCAGTATATTTTAAGAAGGAATGGCTGAATGAGTGGTGAACCATCCTTTGGAAGAGAGACGTCTGCAAAACTCATAGTGATGGCAACTTTATGCCATTCTCCTTAGTGCCAGCAGAGTAGCAGGTAAAAACCAGGCATCCCCAATAGCCGAATCGTTCAATCAAATGCATCCAATTTAATCCAATCAATGGATTGAATCTGAATTTGAATGACTTTCTGATCTTTGCTTCATATTCTCTCCATAGCTAGAAGAAAGTTGATAGAACTGTGATCTAGCGGGATACCATTTGATGCTTTCCTACCTTTAAAAACTCTGCTCCATTTTTGAGATACAAAATGGAGGTTGCTTTCTCTCCGTCTTCTTCTCTATGGAAGCTCCAGTCCTCAATGGTTGGGCAATTCAGGGAATCTTCCGTCAACCTAGATGCTTCACTCTGAGGGTTCATAAGAAATCTTTCTATGCCTGGAAGTTTCCTCACTGACATCGTAGTTACTGCAGAGTGGGGTACCTCTAAATATTAGATACTATGTCAAGTTTAACCTGGTGGGTAGGGGGAGATGTAATCTTGGCTGTTTTGCATGTTACCTTCTAAATCTTTCTGTTGTGTTTGGACGGAGCTATTGCTAAACCACTAAGCCACCCATCCAAATGATTTGCTGGACTGAGTTAAGAGAAAAGCCCACTCAGTACTGTACTAAAAACTCAGAGATTGCCTTATTAAAATAAGTTGGTATCTCTGTTTTGTCCTTAAAACAATCGCCATTTCTCCTTAAACGACCTCAGGGAATTATGAAAGGGAGTTGGGGTAATCCCACCCTGTGAGGTCCCCAAACTTGGCAACTTTAAGACTTGTGGACTTGAACTCCCAGAATTTTCCAGCCACCTCTGCGGAATGGATTCCGGCCTCCAATTCTGTTGTTTTACTATCCAGTTTGGACAGCATAATCACACTGGGGCTGAAACCCCAAGTTTCTTCGTTTCCCTTCCATTCCTGTTCCCTTTGGGGAAGGTTAATAATAAAGAATATGCTGACCAGCTTTAAAACTCAGACCTTGGTTGTGTCCTCAAGCAGACACAGGAGATCAAATACCCCATAACAGAATTCTTTTATTGGTACTACAATCTGTGAAAAAGCCAATTTTGATGGAGTTCTATGATGCACCCTGTTTCAGCTCTGAAGCCTGTGATGCGAAGACGTTTAACCCAGAGTTCCGGAAAGAGACTATAAAACTTGCTGAAGATCAGCCGGATGCATTTTGTAATATCTTCTGGAATCTTTGGTGCTCAAGGACAAGTCCGAGTTCAAAAATAGCACTAAACAAATATAATAATATTGAATCAAATATTGCATGATTTCTTAGAAAGGCGCATTTATCTTCATTGAAGAAATAATATAGCAATGCTTTTTCCTTTCAGAAAACAGTCTTGTTTCATGCCCTGGAAAAATGTCGAAGACCCCAAACCCCACAAAAACTGGAGGCAAAAGCCAGTTGCCTTCAGAAGCCT